CTCAATTCCAAGAAAATTGGACATTTTTATATTTGGATACTCTTAAAGATTATGCTTAGCGACATGTTCTTATAAGATATTATATTGATATGGCAATACTAGATAATAAAGGTACTTTTGGTATCTCCTATATATTTAACTAACATGTGAAAAGTTTTTTTTCTTCCTTCTATATCTTCCCGTCCATTTAAACAACATCATATAAAAGAAAGCAGAGCGATCATTGATCACTTGATTATAGAAATGGCTCCATAAAATGTTAATAAACTTAAAGAACATAAATTTCACTTCACACAATTCTTAAGACAAATTAAAATATTAAATAATTGATGATAAACTAGAATTTTATTATTATTCAAGAGTGTACGCTACTTTTTTTAATGTGTACGCTAACACTAAATAATACTCCATGCTAATATTTAAAATAATGTTGTTATTATATTACTAAAAAATTATAAGGTAACAATAAATCAATTATTGACGTCTGGAAGCAGCATCTGTCTGAATATAATTAATAGAATATCAATATCAAAAGCAATCTTTTATTCAGTGATGTGGTGCTACATGACACAAATTTACTTGTTTATTTAATTCCACAAGGGAAATATTGTTTTTTCTTTCAATTATAAAGCGAATTGTTTTGTCATTTTGATGTCTAAATATATAATTCGCATATCACTTAATATCGTAGGTCTATTTTTGTTGTTTCATGAATTATTTCTTGATTTACATCGTGTTGCAGTTTGTTTCTTTTATTGGTTTGATCATTTTCTTTTACTAACATTATTAATGAGTACTATTGCAGGCGATTAACCAAATCTTTAGAGGACACTTGTGTCGATTACACACGCCCTCACCTCGCTCAAGCTCGAGACGAGCAACAATGGAGGTAAGAGAGATATAGAGAATACATAATGAAGAGAGAGAAAGAAATATATGAAATGAATCCACCGACCTTATTCTGATATCTGTATTGACAATATATACAAAACTTGTCTAACTAAATAAATAGTTAAAATAGCCTCTTTACAAATTAACTAACTAACCACTTTACAAATCATGTCTAGTCACTTTACATAATTAACCATCTCAACACTCCCCTCAAGTTGGTGGTGTGGAAAACACTGCCAACTTGTGCAGAACTGCTAAATGTTTGACTCCTATTAGTGCTTGGTTTAGTTAGAACATAGGCAAGTTGGTCTGCAGTTCCTACATGATGCAGTGAAATCAACCCCTCTTATAGCTTACTTCTCACAAAGTGACAATCCACCTCTATATGTTTGGTTCTTTCATGGAACATTGGGTTCCTTGCTATGTGCATGGCAGACTGGCTATCACAGAACACTGCAATGGGCTTGGGGAAAGGAACTGTAAGTTCTTCAAACAGTCTGCTAAGCCACACCAATTTTCCCACTACCTTTCTCAGAGCTCTATACTCTGCTTCTGCAGAAGATAATGAAATGGTGTCCTGCTTCTTGGACTTCCAACTAACAGGACTGCTGCCCAATAATACAAGATAGCCACTTACAGATTTTTAGGAATCTGGGCATGCTACCCAGTTAGAATCATAATAAGCCTTGATAGTTTAATCTGTATCTCTGGACATGAATATCCCCAGGGTTGGATCTCCTTTCAAATATCCGAGTAGATGAAAAGCTGCTTTCAAGTAAGGTTGTCTGGGGTCATCCATGAATTGACTCAGATTTTGTATACTGTAGGCTATGTCTAGTCTAGTATTGGTGAGGAAATTGAGCTTCTCTACTAGTTTCCTATAATAAGTAGGGTCTGTCAAAGCCTCTCCCTCTTTTGCCTTGAGCTTGAATGTTAGGTCTAGTGGTTAAGTAAAGCTGCTATAGTCCATGCACTGATACTCTTTGAGCAAGTTAAGGGTGAACTTCCTCTGAGATATTATCACACCATCATCCTTATAAAGAATCTCTAAACCCAGGAAGTAGTGTAGCCTGCCCAGATCTTTTATCTTGAAGCTGTCATTTAGAAACATCTTCAAGTCTTCAATTTCCATTGTGTCAGTTCCTGTCAGCACAATGTCATCTACATACACTGGTATATAGACAGTTGAATTTTCAGTTTTCTTGTAAAACAAAGATTAGTCATACATAGAGTGTGCATAACCCCTGAACATAAGCCTTCAGTGAGCATAGCATACCACTGCCTACTGGCTTGTTTCAGCCCATAAAGAGATTTGTTGAGATTGCAAACCAAATCTGAACTATCTACAGCCAGGCCCTGTGGAATCTCCATGTAGACTTCCTCATTCAGGTCCCCATGTAATAATGCATTATTCACATACAATTGGGATATATGCCACCCCTTCTTTACAACAACAACTATCAGAGACCTCACTGTTGTCATCTTGACTACAGGAGAGAATGTCTCTGTATAGTCAATGCCTGCTTGTTGGGTATATCCCTTCACAAGCAACCTAGCTTTGAGTCTTTCTACACTCCTATTTGCTTTATGTTTGATCTTATACACCTATTTGCACCCTATGGTTTTATTTCCAACAGGTAAGGGCACTAAGTCCCAGGTGTGGTTAACATGTAATGCTTCAAACTCTTGGTTCATAGCTGTTTGCCAGGCATGATTCATAGCTGCCTCCTCATATGATAAGGGCTCACTGTCACTACAAATGTCTCTTACAAGACTTTGGCTCTCATGATTTAGAGCATCAGGGGAGACATGATGATTTTTTAAAAATAAAGCATTGAGAGAAAATGGTATAGTTGAGTAGCTGTGAGCAACAAGTGATGATGATTTTAATTTTTGAAGTAAGTGTAGATAGTCTTATAAGTATAGTGGTGTTCTGTGAGGTCTTTATGATTTCCTTAAGGTAATGGATGTAGGGTCTAGTTGATAACCAATTGGTGATATGCTGTGACTTAAAGACTGTGGTGTATTAGATTGTGGTGAGGTGGTGGAAGATTCAGTTAACCTGGAGGATCTCATAGGTAATGAAGGAGTATCATGCTCTAAAGGCTGACTATGTGTAACACTTGTACCATCATTACTATCATAAAGATATTTATCATCCTTAGAAGTGTGATCAATGAAAGGGACAGAGTTAAAAATAAAAGGAAAAGATGTATTTTCAGATGATATAGTGAAGGGAAACACACTTTCAATGAAGACAACATCCCTGGAGACATGTATGTTCTTAGTGGCAAGACTAAGGACCTTGTACCCCTTGACTCCATAGGGATAACCAATGAATATGTGTGGTAATGTTCTAGGTTCAAATTTGTCCCTATGCATCTTTGGCACAGAAGGGTAACATAGGCATCCAAAGCTCTTCATATGAGAATATGTTGGTCTTTTGTAAAGTAATTCAAATGGGGATTTAGGGTGACTGTGGGAAGAAAGTAGTCTATTTATGATGTAAGTTGCACACAAAATACATTCATCCCAGTACTTCACAGGTAATTTAGATTGAAACAAGAGTGCCTTGGCAGTTTCTAGGAGATATTTATGTTTTCTTTCTACTATGCCATTTTGTTGTGATGTATAGGGCAGCTCCTTTGATGAATAATGCCTTTGGATTGGAAATACATGTTTGCTTCTGTACTGGTAAATTCTGAGCCATTGTCAGATCTAATAGTCTTGATTTTGGTGTTGAATTGGGTTTCAACCATGGAAACAAAGGTTTTTATAACCTGTAGTGCATTGCTTTTATAGGTTAGAAGATTGGTCCAAGTGCACCTACTATAATCATCTACCATTATAAGAAAGTATTTGTAATTATCATGTGTTGCCACATGATAAGGTCCCCATATGTCTATATGGAGTAATTGGAAAGTTTCAGTGGTGAAATTGGTTTTCTGGGGAAATGATAGTCTCCCTTGTCTAGCCATTAGACAGATGGAACAGAAAAATGTTGTTTGGATGGAAAAAGGATAGGGATAGAGGAGATCCCTCTCATCTTGACAAAGGGTGCATGCCCTAGCCTATTATGGCACACAATATTCATATCATAACCAGTGGATGCACAAGAATTCAGATTAGGACTCTGATTTTTATTGCTTGAGATTGAACTATTTACAAAGGGGAAAGATACACACTTATTTGTGGAAATTAAACTATATACGGATGAATGACCATGACAGGGTGAGTTGTGTGTGTGCAGTGAGTTCCATTATCAAGACAAGAAACTGAATTGTTGACTACAAAACTTGAGTACCTGTTCCTTAAACACTTTGGACAAAGAAAGTACAGACCATCACAAGCCTTACCAATCTCCAGAGGCCTCTTCATTGAAGGGGCCTGCAGAATGCAAAGATGATCAGTGAAAGCTACTATGCTCTTGGAGTTGGAACTAGCTAGACAGTGAATGGAAATTAGATTGTATTTGAAAGCGGGTATAAACATTACTTTATGTAGGGTGATGTCAGGCACAAGTGTTTCACTACCAATTTCTGTTACTTTTACTTTATAGCCATTTGGGAGGACAACAAGGAGTGGATAAGGTAATGTCATAATGTTAGTGAGTAGGGATTTATTAAAGGTCATGTGATTTGAAGCCCTTGAGTCTAGTATCCAGGAATTAGTCTTATTTTTGAAACACTTACATGACAATTTACCAAAATCTATTTAGCAAGTGCATACTACTATACCTGCAAAGTTCACAGCTCAATTGATAGAATTGGCAGCATTTGCATGTTCTCTTCCATTCCCAGCTTGAAAATGTTCCAGCAAATTCATGATCTATCCATATTGCTCCTTTGATAAACTGATATTTTGATCTTCATTCAGGTCGTTAGCGTCCTCTACCTTGTTGCAGGATGTGTCAGGATGAGCATTAGCCACCACCTTTTTTCCTTTGTTAAAACTTTGATTTCAGTTGAAACCTTGATTTTTGATTGAAGCTTTGATTGGGATTTTGATTTTGATTGCGTGAATATCCAGGATTATCAGGGTAGCTGTGTAGTTTATAGCACCTGTCCTTAGTGTGCCCTGGTTTCTTACAGTAGTCACACATGGGCCTTCCCCTTCCATAACCACTGTGGTTGCCATTGTTCGGTGAATAATTGGTCCTGTAGGTGTTGGACCTCGAGATAGTGGCATTCAATGATGTGGACTCAATAAACAGTTGAGTGTTTGGTTTGATTTCCCTCTGTTTCTCGTCTTGTATCAGCAAAGAAAAGGCTTGAGCCAATGTTGGTAATGGGTTCATCATGAGAATACTTCCTCAAATTACAGTGTATGTCTCGTTCAAACCCATGAGGAATTGTATTAACCGCCTATCCTATTCAGTTTTGTAGAAGTTTTCCTTGGAACCACAAGTACAATTACAGCTGTACTGGGACCTTTTACTCAAAGTGTTCAATTCTTCCTAAAGCTTTTTCAATTTAGTGTAGTAGCTGGTGATATAAGAAAATCTATGATGCAAGAAAGTTGAAGGAAGGTTGCGAGTAGTATTAATAGATATGTTTAGGTCGCAAGCTAAAGTATGGTAAAACGATGAAGTTTTAGAAAGACAAGAGTAAGGATAAGAAAAGGCGAGTGAGGAGGTGACGAAAATGGATAAGTCCTCAGGATTAAGCCCATGAATACAAGAGGAGCTGATGATTTCTCTAAGTTATAGAAAGCTTAGTATAGCCTGAATGAACTCAAAGGAGTCTAAGACTAACAACATTTAGAATAGATGGAATGCTGCCCTGGTAGTAGAATGGGGGTGTAATTATGATAGATAAAGGATGACGTTTGGGCCTTCGATTGAGTAATAATTTGAAAAAAAGGAATTTCATAAATTGTACAGGATTAAAATGCACCCATAACATGAACCACGTAAGGATGCCATGAAATACGGTTATGGAAGTATGGTATCACTCCCAGGTGGATCAGAAAAATCACTTCAAATATTCCTCGATGCAACGCAAGCCCTAATGGCAAGGTATTACGTAAGAAGTTTTAAGTTATCAGTGGTATATTGTAGATCAATATTTAGGTGAATCAACAATGAATGGACAAAAGTCACAAAGTATAAGATGAGATTAAGCCGTCATTCTTAAGATGAACAGTAATGAAGAAGCATTAAAGGACTTAGATTTATACATATGGGATAAGCAACGAAAGTAATATAGAATTCGGTAGCAGACCTCAGTAATGATAAATCAAAGTAAGAATTATGGTATAGTGTGAACTACCTAGATGCAGTAAAGTCATATGAATAGGTAACCGGGTCTATGAAATAAGATATAGCAATATTCGTAAGTTTAACAAAGTACCGAGCACAGAACTTCAGTGTATTTATAGATGCCCAGAGGGACATCTTATCAAGCTCTGTATGTGCTTACAAAGTGAGGCCTAGAGATTGGCTAAAAACTGGATGAAAAATGAGAAAAAAGTCGCATAAGCGC